ATCGCCTTTATTAGGTTAACCTAACCCTAACTTGCCGTCGGCTTAAAGCGTAACTTAATCTTTCCAAAACCAAAGCTGAAACTTGCCAGATGTCCCATTTAATAGAATAACACTTCGATGAGCATATTTTATTGATGATGACAATGTTATCTGCCAGGTCTCATTAACTTGCTCAGTGACCGTTTCAAGGTCATTGGTGCAGTCGCAATCCATTTGGTAGTTAATGGTCCTTAAAGTTTACCTTGGTCATCAATTGTAAAGATGATTGTCTCTCTGTCTGTTTTCGACATAGAACTTTGCACAAATGTGCGGCAGTTCAAGTCGCCACACTCCGTGTAGCACACAAAGCAACAGAAGAAAGTACAAGAAAAGCATAATAGAGACAGTAAACAGAGATGTGAGACAAACGAAGAGTAATAACGAAGAACAACATAGTTTCATTGGAAATCATAAGTCACAGAGAGTGGATGCATTTGCGCCACCCATGAGAACGATTTTGAGCCATGTCACCAATTGTTTCCAACCATTGGTTTCTACCGTCCCGAGGACCCCAACCAGACAGTAATCTACACCTTCCTACGTGGCTGGCTTAGACTAACTGTTGTGGATCTCATTGACTGGTTCCATGTTTTGGTTTCACCGCCGCTAGCTCCTTTCCAGCCTGAACATATATCCGCTAACATTGCTCGTCGAGGAAAGCGATGACTAGGCATACGTAACGTAACACATGTCCTAACCATCTCAGTCGACGTAACTTCACAACTTCATCGATTGATTTCCCCTCCTTACCTAGAACTCGACCGATGACTAACCTCAATATTGCTCACCTTGTTATATCATTTCACACGGGAGACAGAACGCAGGCACCTATCATCAAAGACAGCCAGTCAGTGTTTTGATGTCTTCCACTCTCAGTGGCCTGGTCTCACAACCATAAAGGAGGACGGAGCGGACTGATGAGCAGTAAACCCGCCCTTTGGTCGATAGCCAGCCGGATATCACGTCTACTAAGCCAGAGACGGTGTAAACTGGCATATGCGAAACTAGCCCTCTGTATGCGTGCTGAGATTTCGTCAGAGATCAACCCGTTGGCACTGGCTCATGGTACTTCCCAAGTAAGTGAGGCGGTCAACGTGCTCTACCACTTCACTCTCTATTACTAATCTAGGAATCAGTGTAGTCCAGTCCTGTAACATCATCTTGCATTTCACGGCGGGAGCGAATCACATGTCAAACATTCGTAGATTGCGGCTCAATGTGTTCAGAAGACCCCGCTGTATTTCGTCAGCGTCTTCGCCTGGAAGGACTATATCGTCTGCAACCAGTCAGTCGTCATTCAGTGAGATATTTGATAACCATGAGGAGTGTATGTTTAAGCTTTGAAAGGCATTCACATGCAATATTCCCAGTAGTCTATCAAAAAGATTTTTTCTAATTGTTGGTTTATTTATTCTTTAATAGAATAAATTTCATACACTTGTCTCATTTTATTATTTATTAGACATGAAATCAAAGAGAATGTATTTGTAGGAAAGAAATTGAAAGATCGGTTTGTTTGAAGCTGCTAACAATCTAAAAGTCACCCAAGTTATTATAAAGTGAATGTATGATATAATTCAAAATTATTTCATGTCAAAGGTTAGTCGGTTGCCCTGGTTTAGTTAAGAAAAAAACCGGTTTTTTTCCCGTGCATAGTATGTGTGTAAGCATACTCCTCCGTCAGGGGGGGGGGGTACAGGGATAACAGGATACTTGGAAGAACAATAGTGTAATAAATTCATATGGTTATAAAAGAATACGGGGAAATAACATGCCTCAATGTTTGAATGGTAATAGAAGAGAAAACATTTATAAAATACATTAACGCATTCGAAATATAAGAGCATCACAATTGACCTCAGTTTTACTTACCATCAATTTATATGCCTTTGTTATGTACTCGTCGCCAAATTATTGTTAGTACTGGTCGAGAATTTAATAGTCCTGACGCAAGAAGGCGGAAATCAGAAGACCACTAGGTTTGCGATGATACTTCTATTTCCAAACACAAGGAGAAGCAATAAGTGGTATCACACCAAAGTGTCAAAGGCCTCCAAAGCCTCAGGATGGTCGGGGTGGGTGTCTTGCGCTGCGAGTTGGCCACCCCTCCGTACACCTCTTGAAATGCTCCCATATGACCGGGCGTCTTACATAGCCTCTCCTGAGGAAGTCCTACTCACTGCCTTCACGTGGCGGAGGTGTTTCTCACCAAAGTGAGAGGGCGAAAGCGGATGCCCGGCGCTCTCCACCGGGTTGACTGTCCATTGGATGACGGTCTAGAGGAGATGGCTAAACCCTGATTCCAAACCTCCAACGACTGGCGTATGAAGCTCACTGGAGCTCATCGGCAGACGTATGGACAAAGGGCTTGTTGGATGTCCTGGATGTCTGGCCCCATTCAAAAAGGCGTATGAACCGAACTCCGGTCACCGGCTTCCAATGGATAGTGACTCCTTACTCCACTCCTACTGCCTTGTAGGTCACACTTGGTTGTGTAAAGGCTAGAGCTGTACTCTCAAACAAAAGGCCGAGCGATGCTGGGGACATCACTCGTGCCAAATTCCCATGAAACTTCATGAACTCTCTTACAAATTGCCGCGCCTGGGCAGCGATGATTCGAGACGTTCATGAAGCCGGCTCATCCTCCCGTAGGAGATAGCCGAAGTAAAGTAAAAGTAAGTACCAAAGTGTCACGCAAGATTGTGAGATCGAAATATATATGAATGTACAGACAAGTGTGTGAACAAATCAATAGACAGTCTTAACTTGAATGGAACCGATTGTGAAACAAATAGGCAAAAGAAATGGAGATGGATTGGCCATACGCTGAGGAAACCATCAAGTGACATCACTAGACAAGCCATTGCTCGAGTGGAACCGAAAGGGAGGCGGCGAGTTGGTCGTCCAAGGGACTTGGAGAGGTCATGCGAGGAGGAGATGAAAGCATGTGGACAGACCTGGAGCAGGGTGAAAAAGTTGTCAGAAAACCGAAGTCAATGGAGGTGCGCAGCTGAAGCCTTATGTTCCTCTAGGAACTAAAGGATACAATAATAATAATAATAATCGATCCATATATACATAGCGAAATATAGCAGACATGTCAACAACCACACATATAATATGGATATATGTCACCAAGCAACGGACTGTCAACAAACACTCATATTATATATAATATAAGGGGAATATACATTGTTAAAGGAGACAGGTTCATCAAAGTGAAATGGTCACAGACTAAGCGAGCAAACAGAAAGAGAGACCACTATATATATATATATATATATATATGGATACATATCAGCCTTCGAAGTAGAAAAGTATGGAGGGGTAGGGTAGAGATGAAGACAGAAAAAAGAGAAAAAAAGTAATAAACAGTGTTAGGTTGTAAGGTCATATAGCAACTGAGGAAGGTTAAGGGGTTTATAAGATGGTAAACTTTCTCAGTGAGCTGAAATCCCCAATATGGATGGCTAATCAATGCAACCTAAATACCGTTATGAGGGGAGTGAAAGATTGATTACACTCTCTTTCTGTATGCATAAGTTTGGTTCGAGATGATATTTAATTGCATTTACTTCAGTAAATCGTAGTGAATTTGCTGTCCTAAGTGTATTTAATATTTTGAAGAATTTGGAAATCTCGATTAAATGTCTCGTGTATCTACAAGGTGTGTCGGATAATCGTACTCTGACAATATCTGTTTTCTTGTTTCAGACTTAAGTTTCTTGTGATATGCTCTTAAAACATATAAATTGATGGTTACTCACACTAAATTCAATTGTAATGCTGATATTTTAGATGCGTTAATGTATTTTATAATGTTTTCTCTTCTACTGCCATTCAAACATTGAAGCATGTGATTCCCATGTATTCTTTTCTAACCGTTGTAATATCGGGTAATCTATGGCAGTTGACGAGAACCTGAGAAATAGAATGACCAGTAGGGTGCAGCAGGTTAAGGGTGAGGCAGTAACTCGTCGAAGAAGACATTGCAAAGTGGTCGCGCTATGTCATGAATTGGCAAAAGTTAGAATTCATGCGCTGGTCATTGGATCGGGTGGCGTAATGGTCTACAAGCTCGCTAGCCTTGTAATTAGTAGGTCCCGGGTTCGAACCTATGTGGTGGGTGCGCACTCAGGAAGAGTCCCAAACTAGCACAACGGAAACAACTGTCCAATACTCCCTGCAGGTTTTCCAATAGTTCTGTAACCGATGTCAGTTCGCGATGAAATCCTCCGAACAATCAAACAAAATTTAATTGATGGATGGTGACTAGCAGTGGAATCCAGGATAGCACGCATTTCGTCCTATTTGGGACTCGTCAACTGGAAATACCTGCATTTCTCAGTGAGTGATGATGCTCACACCGAGGCTCGAACACAGCACCCATAGTTTCAAACGCCAAAGCGTTATCCACTCGACCACTGCTATGGGTACTGGGTTCGACCCTCGGTAGGAACATCATCACTCACTGAGAAGTGCAGTTACATCCAGTTGACGAGTCCCAAATAGGACGAAACGCGCGCTATCCTGGATTCCAATGCTAGTCACCATCCACCAGTTAAATGCTAACTAAATGCCCAGACATCATCGAAGCATCTGCACTAGAAGCCGACATATCAATCTGAGATCGAGCACTTCGGTCGAATCAATCGACGGGAAAATCTCAAATTTGATAAAAATCAAACAAAATCCCTACAAAAAAACCAATACTTGAAGATATCGTTTTCTACTACAAATCTAGTCTTTCTTTCTTTCTTTACTTATCGAAATTTATCATGGGAACTGAATATATGAAACTCGTATTTCATCTTCATGTCATCAAATGAATTAGACAGCCGTTCCTCGCTTATCTGTAGAATTTGAATAAGTCCTTGAAAACAGCCATCTGATCGAACTACTCTTTTTTTATGAAATCTGTTGTTTACTAAATAATGTTTTTTTTAATTTTTAACTTTCAGAAAAGAACCTGAACCTAGTGAACTATCGAATTATGTTTATCAAGATCCTAGTCATCAAACTATTCAACGAAATCAGCCTTATTCAATGTCTTTAGCACCAAATCCTAATATAATAATTGGTGCTACTGCAAATGGTAAAGATATTGATGCCTTTCAAACACATCGTCGTCAATTGTCTTCTGCATCATCAAATAGTTGTTCAGGTTATGCAACCGGCCCTGGGACAACAGCTGCTCCATCATCAGCTTCATCATCTGCTGGCTATGGGTATGGATATGGTTATGGTTCAGGTAGTTTGGCGAGTTATGCAAGTAGTAGTAGTGGAAGTAGTAGTCTTGGTGGTAATGGTGCTGTTGGAGGAGGTCTTGTTAGTGGAGCAGGAGCAGGAGGAGGAGGAGGCGTTGGGTATTTGGGGACAACAATGAATCGTCTAGGAAGTGGAAATATGAAGAATACAAGTTTAGGTGGAGGTGACTCCTGCAATTGGATTGGTTTAAACTCCCAAGGTAAGATTTTATTTTTATTTGTCCCCGTGTCTCTTTTTTAAAGGCTCTTGTAACGACAGAAGACAAGGGCCAGTCAACAGATCGTTCATTGAGAAAATCAACAGATATTTATAGATTTTTATATACATTATTTACTGTCCGCCGAGAAGCAACCTCTTCTGATTGGTTGTTTTCTTGCTGAAGGTTATTCTGTACTGCTTGTGACCGTTTCTTAGAAATCCAGGTAAATTATCTGCAAATCGTATTTGCACACACTAAGTCTGCTGTGATTGGTTGTTGAGTTCCTCAAGGTTAAGCCTTGTTATTGTTTTTTATCATGACCCCGATTTGGGACGTAAACATTGATGTAAATTGTTGTTTACCAAGCTCTAATGTTCTAAAGTATCAGTTGTTCTCATTCAGACGTTCCCCCATAAAGGAATTTGTGTTGCGTAATATTCCCTTGAACCTCGCCTAGATTACTAGCTCGCTAGTTTTCCTGCCGATCCCAAGCCCGAATAAAGAGGGAGGGTTGGGGGTTGGGGCTAGCAACTCCACCCTTGTAAAACAACCAAATTGCTACAGAAACTTCAACGAATAAATATATTAAAAATTCTAAAAACATAAACAATAACCTTATTTTTTGCTGGAATTGGGGAAGTGAAATGACGCAGGCTGATGAAAGCCTTCGGGAAGCCAGTCAGCCGATGTGCCTTCTTTCGATGAAAGCAAAAGTAAGGATGGGTACCTGGAATGTTCATACAATGTACAAAACTGAAAAGGTTGCCCAGAATGCCGCTGAAATGAGAAGGTATAGAATAGAAGTGTTGGGAATCTGCGAAAGCAGATGGAACGGAACTGGGAGCTGCCAACTACCACAACAACAAAATTCGGATTTTCAATACAAACGTAAAGTCAGTTCTTCTATACGGAACGGGTCAGAAACCTGGCGGGTGGGTCACAAAGAATATTTCCAACAGCCGTTGCAGACCTTCATAATCAACAACTGTCTTAGCTGGCTCTATAGTGAATATCAGATGGCCGGGCCAGAAAGAATCACCAACAAGAAACTATGGGAACAAACAAAACAAAACAAGAAGCAATCGCCAACCAACAAATATGCAGGAGAAAGTGGAAATGGATTGATTGGACACTCGCTCGCTGAGGAGGCAGGCCGCTGGGTGACATCGCGCGCGCGTTAGGCCATTGCTCGAGTGGAACTCGAAAGGGAAGCGGCGAGAGGGACATCAGTGCAAGGGTAACATGGAGAAGATCGTGCGAAGAGGAGCTGAAGCAGTATGGACTAACATGGATGCAGGTGAAAAGTACAGCAGAAGGAAGACAGAAGCAAGTGGAGACGTTCAGTTGAAGCCCTATGTTCCACTAGAAACCCAAGGGAGCAATAATAATAATATTATTATTATTATTATTATTATTATATAAGCTTTATTCCAAATCAGTACTTGTGATACAGAATGGAATTCTCAGCATTTTACTACAATATTGCATCCAGTTTTTTACATTAACAATAAATAAAGTTCTACATAGTTTAAAGATTATCTCAACAACATATTAGTATGTCGGTAGCAAAGCCAAAATTAAAATGTTTGAAGGTGTTACAAAAGTAGATACTACTAGCATATTTACTGGCGTAAGCGATAGCAAAATGGTCGAGATATACAGAGTGTAAAAGAACGAACAAGAATGTTTTAAGTAGAGTTTGCAAGGAAGAGAGAAACAAAACAGCACATAACAAAAATAAATACAGAATGAAGAGAGAGAAAACGTTGTACCTATAAATGATGTGAGTTGGAAAGACGAGATTCATTGGTTCTAGTGACTATTTAATAAGTTAAAGGTTTCATGCCTGATGCATTCTTTATCACACAGAACACGGGCTAGGTAGGGTATGGATGAGTTTTTGTACTTACTAGTGCGGGCATATAGTTTCCTATATAGACTTCTTGTTTTCCCTGAAGAGATACATGGGGAGAGTTGTGAGTGTAGAGGGTGTTGTGAGTCAGATAAAATGGACTTCGCCCATTTTTCACATGAGTCCATGTGCCTGTCCACCAGAATGTTAACAAGCTGGCTAAGTGGCAAACTGCTTACCCTGCTGACAACCTTTAACATCCTACGTAATAAGGTATAGTCTTTCTTCAATAGCCCAGGAAAGACTAAGGGGGAGCAATAGAGAATTATAGGCAGAATACGGGAGTTAACAAATTGTAGTAGTAAGGGTTGGGTTACACCAGAATGTCTTAACTTCTTGATGTAGAAGGTAAGACGGTATATTTTCTTGGAAATCGTCAAGATATGAGACGACCAGGAAAGATCAGAAGATAGAGTGACGCCTAGGTATTTAATTTCCGACTTAGTTTCTATTTCAGTGCCATCTATGTTGCACACCTCGTGAGCGCTAACCAGTTTGTTTAGGTCAGATTTATGCCTAAAGGTGAAATTAACTGTTTGGCATTTGGAGGGGTTTAAGGTTAGACCGTTTTCCTTGGACCATTGGCTAATTTCTGATAAGAAGCCATTTAGTTTAGAGCAGTCATTTTGACATTTGACAGGTAAAGATACAGTTAGGTCATCAGCATATTTGACAAAGTTAATATCATTTGAAGACGGTAGGTCATGTAGGAAGAATGAAAAGAGAAGTGGGGAGAGTACAGCACCTTGGGGGACACCAGATTCAGTGAGCACAGCAGAGGAGGATTGACCTTTGTATACGGTGTACTGCATTCTGTTTGAAAAGTAGGAATGCAACCACTTAGTGACCCAAGACTCGGTTTGTGTCGTGGAGAGCTTATTTAGCAAGAGACTTCTAGGTACAGAGTCGAAAGCAGAAGTAAAGTCAAGAAACGTGCAGCGGACATATTTGGCACCTTTGTCTAATGATGAGACAATACTGTTGTGTAAGACGGCTGCAGCGTCTAAAGTACTCCTACCCTGTCTGTAGGCAAATTGTTTGGGGTCTTCGAAGCTTTTAAGGGAGGGTTCGAGTTTAAGAAGTATTAGTTTTTCCATGAGCTTTAGAAACGGGGAAGTGATGGCGATGGGTCTGAACTTTACGTTCTTGCTATTTCCAGGTTTAGGGACAGGGACTATTTTAATGTCTTTCCATGGAACAGGTACAACGTTTTCGGAGAAAGAAGCATTTAGGATATTAGTTAGAGGAGAACATAAAGCATCTGCACATTGTTTTAGGACATATGCAGGTATGCCATCAGGGCCAAGACTATGTGAGGGCTTAAGAGTTTTAAGACATTTCAAAACATCGAGAGTATTGAAGTCCTGGAAGTTATCAGCTACAAGATTGGTAACATTAGAAGTGGTTATGGTAGAAGGAGAGCGTATAAAAGACAGATTAAGAGCATTAACATCACAAGAGGGAAAAACATTACATCGCTTACTATTGCCAGTAATTTCATTGAAAAGTTTCCACATGCTGTTTGGAGATTTGCATGATAAAAGTGTTTGGTTATAGATAGCATTAAGATTTTTGATTTCAGATTTGATTTGAGCATTTATCTTTTTAAGTCCTAACTTGTCTTTGCATTTATATAACATTTCTTTTTGCCTGCGAAGTTGTTTGAGATGGGGTGACGAGAAGCGGTCGAGGCGTTTGAACAGTGTTTGTTTGGGACAGCATATGTCAAGGCAGAACTTAAGATAATCCATTATATTGGTGATTGAGTCATCTAATGTACTTTCATAGAATAGATCCCAGTTGGTATCTTTTAACATGCATCTTAGATTGAGTAAGTTGTCAGATGTGTAGCTTCTTTGTTGTGCCTTCGTGGACAGGTGTGAGAAGATTTTAATATGTGTTTTGCTGTATATTTTTGGCAAAACGCGGACAATGCAGTGATCGGAGTTATGTATCGGTGAACGTCTACGTGTTTCATATACTCCTTCATCATTGGTAAAAACCAAGTCAAGGGTTTTGTCAAGTCGAGTGGGAAATTTGACTATATTTGTGTGACCAAGAGCTTCAAGAAAGGAGCAATCTGATGTGTTGAAGTCTCCAGTAATAACGGATAGAGAGTTGTCGAAGTTGGCAGCAGCAAACATGGTGAATTCATCAGCAAAATTAGATAGATCAGATGGAGAGCAACTAGGAGAAATGTACATGTTTGTAATATAGAATTGTTTGTATTTGGGGATATGTTTGGGGCGACATTTGACAGTAATACAGTCAATGAAGTCATTTGAGAAGGTGAAGCAGATGTTATTTGAGACAGACCATTTGGAGTGAATAAAAGTTGCAACGCCACCACCATTTTTCTTATTACAACAGTGACGGTCTTGTCGAAATAAAATAAAGTCCTTTAGTGAGATAAGGTTGTCATCATACAGTTCATGCAACCACGTTTCTTGTAATGCGATTATGGCAGTGTTATGATACGTATCAGTTGACATCAGGGATTGTAGATACATTATCTTATTTGGTAGAGAGCGACAGTTTGAGTTCATTATGACGGGGACCGTAGTTAAGTGTATTGGTGTACGTTTGAGAGCTCTCTGCCAACCACTACGATGTTTCCTCCTTGGTTTCTTTGGAATATGAAAGTCATTTGGTCGTAAATTATTAATAAAGTTACGAGAGTAAATGATTCTGTTAGAATTCATATTTAAGTGATAAGTGTATGCTGGTAAACGGGAAACTGGATGCAAAATGTAGATATTTTGTTAGCAGGCCCAAAAATTCAACAGGCCGCCAAGGTCAGTAGTCAGTAAAACACATAAAAACTGGCTTTAGAATGGTTAACAAGATGATGTAACCCAATACTTCTCAGACTGTTCCAAAATGAATAAGTTTTTATTAGAAATTAGTCAGTGGACCGTATCAGCAAATGATAATGGTCTTGAGCTAAATTCCTCCAAATGTAAGGTAGTTAATTTCACAGGCGCCACTTACATGAACTGGTTCTTTCGCATTATTCTGATGTCGTAGATGGCATTGAAGTTGGAAGGAAGTCGAAAGCTGTCGAATACCTTGGATTGTGTATTTCCTC